ATGAAACGCGTCAACATGCGATAGTAACAATGGTTCAGTCTGACATCCTCAGCTCATATTGTGAGAGACTTGTCCTAATCTGAGCTGGCCATGCAAGTTGAGTTGGGCTGAGTAAACTCTTTCAATCTCACCCATCATATACTGTATGAATCACTTTAAATACTGAAACCTCACCATGGTTGAAGGTGTTCTTTTAATCTTTAAATTTGGTCAGGACATACTTAAAACATATGCTCCCGGTACTATATTATATTGCCACCTTAAAACTAATGGAATAATAAATATTTTTTTTAATCTAACATCTCCTACGAATACTTCTTCTAGTACTGAAAAAGTTTAGGCAAGAACCTACATCACAGAACTCTGAACATTCCCCTAAGCGCTCCGTCCCATCCCCAGCAGCTACGGCAGAGCTCTAATTTCGATGGTACTTACGTCAACCCAATATGGGTTGTGTGTTTTTTTAAAAAATCCCCACTCTGGGTGTAGTCGGGGGTCCTAACATAACCTAACGATTGACTGGAGTTTCTGGGACTTGAACCCGGGTGATTCTAATCCGAATAGTGGTACTTTGTGTCACCGGGTGTTTATCGAGTGGGGTTAAACGTCACTTAATCACTCCAACTTCGATGGTAACAGTAACAGTTTAATTGTATGTCGGTCTTTGCCCTTGCCATGTGTTGCGAGTCAGTCCCAGGTCATTTTCCATTGCAACATTCTCTGCAGACCGTGGTGGTCTCGCTAGTCAAACACCCGTCATCAGGGCACGTGACTCCCCTTCCTGATTCTAGCACAGTGTCCAGCGTCTAGGGAAAGCTGTCGTGGTGCAGCGGCTAGGCACTCGCCTGTGGATCAGAAAGTCGTGAGTTCGGGTCCTGACAGAGCTGTACTTTTTCCTAAAAAATTGTCCTTGGCTCCCAGCTCCACCCCGCCTTGAGTGGATACCAGGTGCAGTCCTGGGAAGTAAAGGGGGCCAGCGTGATACGCACTACATCATACAACAAAGTGTCGACTGGTCTACAAAATATAGGTCTAGACCTATACGCACAATACGCTTAAATGCGTTGAAACTGGTTCTCTACTTTCTTCTACCCTGGCATAGAAAAGTGGCCTCTGTTAATGCTACGCTATTTTGCCTAAAGACATGCAGATTATTGCTGACTAAGGCAGCCTTCCACAGACCTCTGCTTGGTTTCAAACACATCATAAACCCACCCAACCTTGTTTTCTTTACTAAAAGCAGGTGATGAATATTCTTCCTTTCTGTTCTGTTTCTAGATTAGAACAAATAGGGGGTTTGTAGTCTTTGTGCCCTGTTTGTTGTTAAATTGACGAGTAGTTGGTTAGTGGTGAGAATTTAAAAACGATATCCTATTCAACCAGTCTGAGGTATGGTTGGTATGGAATGAGTTTTTTTTTTTTTTTTTTTTTTTTTTCAGATTTTCAGTATTTCTGCTTGTAAACTACTTTTAGTTATTTAATATTGCATTGATTATGTAATGTAAATAGATTATGTAATGTAAATAGATTAAGTAATGCATCTAGTCGACTAAAGGAGTATTGATCGTTAAATACATATAAAGTGTACTTTTAAAATAAATGTGATAATTTAGTGTGTAATCTATCTTTGGGAGTACTGAAAATTATATAAAATATCACTATTATGTCTTACGATACATTAAGATGTGCATTCCCGAATTGTGTGTGTAGTGTGTGTGCGTGCGTGTATACTACCACATTACTATGCCAAAAAACCTATTACAATAGGGGCTTTTAAGCTGAAATTCTATAGAAAGATTCACAGAATACCATGGACTAAGAAGAGCAAAAATAGTGAAATAGAAGATTTGAACATCAAGGAAGATTGGCTAATAAACAACATCTTGTCTCGGAAGCTGAAAAATTTTGGTCATATCAAGAGACATTGCGAATTGAAAGGAAAAAAAAATAGCAGAAGGCATGGTACCAGGGAGGAGTTGTAGGGGCCGACCAACATGAAAGATCGGCACAGGATATAAGAGACTCCTTGATTATGAAATACAGAGGCGGTAGAGCTGGGGAGATTGAGTTTCTTTCCCGTAGAACACGATGACAGACATATTTTGCAAAGGACTTGTAGCATGATGATGATAATGATGATGATGATATATATATATATATAAAATAAAGTGGTTTCGCAGCCGACTTGACATCTAACTAAACAAGCATAAAACAGATTTTTTGTTCAATCCGATGTCACACAATTATAATTATCGACAGTTGCCTCATGTGCGGCTGCTTAGTGGTTAGAAATCTTATATACGTGACTAGAGTGGCGTTTACGGTAAACAAAGCGCAGAAATGACCTCCTTTAGTTTTCCGTTTTTTTTTTTTGTTAATCACGTGGCTGAGAAAGTCTTGTCACACAAGTGGGAAGATTAAAAAAAAAAAATTTCTTAGTACCATAAGTCATGGATGGATATGCTTATCTTGCTAGATGATCTGGCTGACATTTTTGGCGGTTCACTTGGGCTTTTCCCACAGTTCACAGTGGGCCGCGGCCCATAAGTTGAAAAATACTGGTCTGTAGAAATTTGTTTGTTTGTTTTAGTATCCAGAAGCCATGAGTTATTAACCCTTAGGCTCGGTATTAAGGAGCCTGGAGAGCGCATTGCCAAGAATACTCACATGGGGTGAGATCTGGCGGATGACCCCGCTGCAACTGAGCTTTATCGTTCGTTCGGCGTACGATGTATTACCGTCCGGTGTTAATATGGTTAAGTGGTATGCGACTAACGATCCGACTTGCCCGTTGTGCAAAGCGAAGCAGACTCTTGAGCATGTCCTGTCCGCGTGCAGGAAAGCCCTAGGCCAAGGCCGATATACCTGGCGACACAACAAGGTGCTTAAAGAGTTAGCAGCCGTTGTTGACCAGGCTAGAATGAGGGCTAACGCTAGAGCCAGTTCTACCATCGTCCCCATACGTTTCCTCAAGGCTGGGCAGATTTCAAAAGGTAAGGTCAACCGAGACGCATTCGCTCCATCTGTGCTAGACTCTGCGAGGGACTGGTTACTGGCGGTTGATCTGGCGGGCCATGAAAGGTACCCCGAGTTAATCCGGAAGACCGGCCTGCGACCTGACATAGTTCTCCACTCTGCGGAGAAACGGCAGCTCATCCTGATTGAGTTGACCGTCCCGTATGAGTCGCGTATGGACGAGAGTCCCACATATAAGCTCGAGAAATATAGTGACTTAGCAGCCGGTCTGAGGAGAAACGAGGCGTACACATTACGGGTCTTTGCCGTCGAAGTGGGAGCGAGAGGCCTCGTTTCCACTTCGCTCTACAATGTGGTTAAAGAACTAGGATTGCGCGGTAATGAACGGAAACGAACATTCAAACGGCTGGGCGAGGCAGCCGAAAGGGCCTCGAGTTGGCTTTGGACGCAACGAAACAACGTAGGGGAAGGCCTCGGTGAGCTGGTCAAGGTTTCTAGTGGAAAAGGGTTTCTCACCCTTTGAAAGTCCATCGTGTCCGAATTGTCAGCCAGTGTTCCTCTGTCACCTGCTAACAAAAGTCCAACATGAGTCCGGTAAACCAAACGTAAGCTTGTCGCTGGGTCGTCCAGGTATGCTGACTGTTCTAATTAGGCTGCCGCGACGACTTCTTATCTCACAGTACCTTCTGCAAATCACCATTCGTCTTGTCCCTATCCGAAAGAAAAACACCATCCGGTAATTTCGTGCAGCAGGGTACCAGCCCTGAGCTTCATGAACTCAGGTGGGCCCGCCTCCGAAAGTGTCTAGGAGAAATCGTGGGCCGAAACACTTGTCGACGAGGATAACTTCTACTGATGACTGGTATATCCCTGCTGTACTTGCTCCCTGTGAGTTTATTCCTATCCTATGGATATCGCAACCGTTCGGCCTTGATTCCATTGTAAATACCGTAAATTTGGGAGAAAGGTGCCTTTTCTGCCCACCCCAGGCAGTGAACCCGGACCCCAAGGAGTTCGTCACCCGGTCACCGCGCAATCCGGTCTAGCCAACTACGCTAGAGAGGCGGGCCTGTAAAAATTTAAATACAACGTCATGTGCCCACTACACCACAGGTGACTTCCGGTCAAAATGGAGGTTAAGCACGTTCGCTGTTTTTAGTCGTAGCAAATTTTTGCTTCTGGCAGAAGGTGGTCGTTGCAGTTTTCTCCATTTGTAGACTGAAAGGATATAGTTTTGTCTCCCAGCTACTGAGTTGAGTACATGTTTCGGCACTGTGAGCTGCGGATTTCATTTGAAATGTTCTGGTGTTGTAAACTGTAGATTCAGAAAATGACGAGTGACTTTCTGCCACTGAAATTAATCGCGTCTGCATCTGCTGATCTGTTTGTAACGGCTGCTTCCGTCAATGATGAACTGCCTTTCAAATGTCAAACTGTTTGTGTTAGACCTTCAGATGACTGCCTTATAGTTTTAATGCGTATGTATGCTAGTGGATATGAGATACGGCATTCTGGTCTATGTTTCCACAAGGTAAAGTGGAGGAGATTCTGTGTGTTTTTCGTTAGCACAGAAGCAGAGCAACTATGGGATGACCCGTTTGCTGTGAAGTTAAAACTAAGGTTACAAATATTACGCTACTGACATAAAAAAGAGGGTCCTTTACTACTTTAATTTTCACATCAAGTTCTTCTTCTTCATCTATAAATTCCGGCGGAAAGTTTTGGGCGTTAGCCTACCTCTGGACTTTAGTCTCGTTTCAGCACCTGAGTTTTGAGTGTACATACATTTTAAAGATCTGTTTATTTGTATGCACTCTTGCTTTCTTGTCTTTCAGGTAGATGAACTCCGATTTCGAAGGAAGCTCCCAAGTATGTCGACTCCTACGAGGAGTCAGTTGATGGAGGCAGTAATCTGTTCTTGTTTTTACAAAAATGAGGTCCAAGAATCCACATGGGGAACATCAAGTTAGGTCTTTATGTATACCTGTCTCTAATGAAAGGTAGCAGTCGTACAACACACTTACCTAGTTATAAGGACAGCGTTGTCATGTCCTACACTGCTGTCTGTGCTGTTCTCCACGAACTGGGACTGCCATTTACAAAAGCTGTCCAGGGATTTGTCTGCGTGATAATTTATTTGAGGTAGATCGTCTCCCTGAGAAAACACAAAAAATGTTGGATGTTGGTAACTTATTCTTTCCTAGACAATCATGAATTTCATCAAATGTTAAACTGTCACTTTCATGAAAGAAACTTTTGTTTTAAATTAGTCTCTGTCAGTCTTTTAAGGAGTTGAAGGTTTGAAAAGTTTAAAGTCGAAAGGGTCAATTATGTAGCACTGTGTTTCATATTATGTCACAGTCTCCATAGGAAAAACGGCCAGTCGAGAACGTTACCCAAAGCAAAGACAGGGATCTATAGAAAAACTACTCTCGTGAACCGAGAACGAAGCCAAGACTTTCAGCGCGAGTTGTTAACGGTTTAATCATTTAGAAGAGACTCTAAAGAGGCGACTCTAATGAGGAAATACTCTCCTCTTCTTAAAGTCACTGGTATGTCTATCCACAACTTTCTGTCTCGTGTACTTTTAGTCTACTCGGATACAGATGATGTCATACTTTCCAGCATCTTTTCTCTTGGTCTCCCTCTGCCTCTCCTTCAACTGTCCTACTGTCACGATGTACTCCAGTTTTATCCTTCTCATCACATGACCAAAGAATGTAGATTGTCTCTTTCAAGACACCTTCATTACTTTTCTTATCTAGAAACAGTGTTGTCTTCATTCGTCTACAAAACCACATCTCCGCAGCTTCCACATAGGTTTTTACTAATTTACCAACTGTTCAAAAGTATGCTCAAGGAGGTATTAAAAAAAAAAAAAAAAAGATGGCCGTGACGATAATGTTGCTGATGATAATCTCTCATACGTGGTGCATGCTTCTCCCGTCACGGATGTTTGTGTAATAAAATGTCTTGAAACAACTTTTCTTTTCTATACTGTCTTTATTGTGATACCTCAGTAATGTCAAAAAATAACTCAACAATATTCTGAATGGCTGCTGTTTTCACTCTATAGTTACACACTCTTGAGGTCGCGTTATGTTATTTATCTCTAGTTACTTTGTTAACAGTTTCTAGTATTGTAAATGTCACCTGGCTTCTATTGCTGTTTAGTACTAAAAGTTTGATCGTCGATTCTAACATCTCATTAGTGTTTCTATCTGATATGTCTCAGTGAACCATGGATCCGTGTATCTCGTCTATTGTCTGTATAGTTTGATGTCTCGTTCACGTCTCCTCTCTTGTGACTGTCTTCAAGGCTCGATGTGACTGGTTCCTCTGCTTCTAAGTTTCGTAGACTAAAGAATGAAGATCTTTATTTTTGAGGGTACATATTACTAGTCTCTCCTATTCCAAGTCTTAATGACAGAAGGTATCCAACTGGTCTCTTACCCCCTATTTATACCGAGATGATGCAATGCGTGGTATGTGTTTTTCTTCTCACTACTGTTCTGGAAGATTCTTGTGTGCTAAAACTTGTTTACTGTTTATGTTCTCCGTGCGGGATTTTCTAATTGTGATTGGATTGCACGAGATAAGTCTTCACCAAAATACGCTTATTAAATTGACAGATGGTTTCTGTGGTCTACTAGAAAGCGAATACTACTGCCTTCTCTTTTGAAGGGCACGTCACCAAATTACATCAGATGTTATTTATATAACTAAGTTATTCATTTGCATGCAAAATATCAAACTACCAATAAACAAGTGATGGTTCTGGAAAGGGAATTTCAAGGTTGCTAACACCTGTTGATTTTGGTCCCTTCAACTCATACGCAATATTCTACCTCCTAACGTACAAGTGATGAAGTTTCTCTGTTACATATGGACTAAAATGCAATTTGTTAAAGTAATTCTACATATCTTATGGCTTCATATATACACACACACACACATACAGATATATATATATATATATATATATATATATATATATATATATATATATATATATATATATATATATATATATATATACCGACCGGCCAACCGATCGACAGACCGTCTGACTAACCAACAGACCGGCTGAGCGATGGTCCGACAGACAGACAGACAGGTAGGTAGGTGGGTAGGAAGGTAGATAAACGTACGGACATATAGATAGACATACAGACAGATAGCAGACAGACAGACAGACAGACAGACAGACAGACAGACAGACAGACAGACAGACAGACAGACAGACAGACAGACAGACAGACAGACAGACAGACAGACAGACAGACAGACAGACAGACAGACAGACAGACAGACAGACAGACAGACAGACAGACAGACAGACAGATATGTAGGTTGGTGTATAGATAGATAGGATAGATCAGACAGACAGACAGACAGACAGACAGACAGACAGACTGACAGACAGACAGACAGACAGACAGACAGACAGACAGACAGACAGACAGACAGACAGACAGACAGACAGACATCTGAACTGACTAATATTTTATTGGCTATCTTCCGAATAACGGTCCCAGAGTATCGAGACCGAAGATATACCCTAACAGGGCATCAGCCACATGTCAATTGCGGACTTCCAGCGACTTAAATTGCTCACTCCTGGCGACTAATGCCACCGCACGAGCAGCAGCTACCGCATCTGCTGCAGCTTCCTTCATTTTATTTGCTCGTGAGTCCCAGCCATCTAGTTTAGCCCCAATCCACGCTGCGCGTAGCGGCTTGAGAGATACTCTCGGCGGTGGCGGAAGTCCGCAACTGACATGTGACTGAGGCCCTGTCAGGGTATATTTTCGGCCTCGATAATCTGGGACCGTTATTCGGAGGACAGCACGTTAAAAAAATTACAAATGCAGAAAAACTGAAGGGGAGCACTGACCTGCTCGGCTGTGATGACAACAAGGCGTGTGACGATGATGTTGATGGCGTTGCCGATGGTCGGATTATGAAACAGTTTTGCCACCTGACCTCAAGAGAGAAACAGCCACAAAAAATACAAATACATTGCGTATTATACTTGCTAGGTTTACTGTGTACTGCTATACTATTACTACTACTGCTGCTGCTGCTACTACTACTACAACTAAACATACTACTAACTACTATTGCTAATTTTTACTGTTGCTACTGATCTTCTACTGTTGTTAAGCCTACTGCTGCTGCTGCAGCTACTGCTGATAAAACTACTGCAACCGCTACTATTACTCGTGTTTCTTCTTCTTTTTTTTTCTTCTTCTTCTTCTTTTTCTTATTTTTCTGATGCTGCTGCTACTACTACTGCTGTTGCTACTACTACTGCTACTACTACTACTACGACACAGATTACTAACTAGTACTGCCAACTATTCCCGCAGCAACTATTCTTCCACTGCTATTAGCCAATCAATGCTGCTGCAACTGCTGCTGATACAATTACTGCCACATTGCTAGTAATCATGTTTACTGCTGCTGCTGCTTCTTCGTCTTCTTCGTCTTCTTCTTCTTCTTCTTCTTCTTCTTCTTCTTCTTCTTCTTCTTCTTCTTCTTCTTCTTCTTCTTCTTCTTCTTCTTCTTCTTCTTCTTCTTCTTCTTCTTCTGCTTCTGTTGCTGCTGCTGCTGTTTCTGTTGATGCTTCTGTTGTTACTGCTGCTACTGCTGCTACTACTACTACAAATACACAAACTACAAACTATTACTGCTGTTTATAACTGCTGCTGCTGATCTTCTACTGCTTTTAGCTTCAATGCTGCTACAGCTGGTGCTGATACAACAACTGCCACCATTACTACTAAAAAAACTTGAGCTTGCAGTGACAGCTGGAACGATTTGAGGATGGCTCAAGGCGACGAGCTAATTCTCGCCTAAAGCCTTTTGCAATAGTATGGAAGTGTATCACCACAGGCACTGTTCCATGCTCTTGGAGATCAGACGATGTGGACACATCTGATCAGCGCTTTAGCCTTAAGGCACTCGATTGTCTGTGAGTGTATGTGAGTGTATGTGAGTGTATGTGAATGTATGAGGGAGAGTATTGTGTGCGCGTGTGTGGCTGTGTTCTGTAAATATCTTTTAATCGGCCCTTGATTTTCATTGCTGCAGATATCACCCGCTAAAATTAATTTTTTGTGATTTGCCTTCCCTTTGCAGTTGGTGGTGACCCCTAGATTTTTGTATGTCTGCATGTGCATTATATCTATATCTGCTTCTAGGTCTGCTTATGGCTGACTGAATTGTGTGTGTGCGCGTGTGTGTGCGTGTGTGTGCGTGCGTGCGTGCGCGCGTGCGTGAATAATAGGGCTTTTATCTGACTGTAAGGGATTATTTTTTAAACATTACTGTAAATGACACTTTGTGGTAATAACCAGCACATGTTGGAAATTTTTCTGAAAGTTTCAGCAGGTTTTTTTCTAGAATAACCCTATACACACATGCATACATTAATTACACGCATCACACGCACGCACACGCACACAGAGAAAGAGAGACAGACACACAGAGACAGACAGACATGAGAAAACCTCATATATATATATATATATATATATATATATATATATATATATATTATATATATATATATATATATATATATATATATATATATATATATATATATATATATATATACATATATATATATAAAAGCTTACCAATCTCTCTCTCTATATGTATATATATATATATATATATATATATATATATATATATATATATATATATATATATATATAGAGAGAGAGAGAGAGAGAGAGAGAGAGAGAGAGAGAGAGCAAGATTTGAAAGCTTACTGACTGATCAACAGGCCGATTGTTCAACCAGCAGGGAGACCGAGAGGGAAAATGACGCAGTAGATAGAGAAGAAATAGACAGATAGCAGACATGTACGATTTATGCGGGTAGAAACAAGACATATGCAGAAATACAGTCAGACAAAAGGACACGTATGTAAATGGACATGCAGGAAAAATAAGAACTGCAGGGTGGCAGGCAGATAGACAGATTAGTAAGTAAGTAGACACACTGGCAGACAGACAGACTAAAGGACAGTTAGGTAAGTGCGAAAGTATACACATACAAAAAAAAAAAAAAAAGGCAAGCAGGCAGACTGCAAAGAAACAAATGCAATGTTTTGTTAGACAACAACAATAAAGACATACAATATTCATGATAGTGAGCACGTATGTTGTGAGTGCTGCAGTGCTGCCTTCAGGCTCGTTGGTGGCGTGATAGTCCAACATCTTCTTGTCAATGACAACAAGGGTCTCCACATGCCGCTCTGTGCTGACCGATCTTTTCATTCGCTGCTTTGGCTTGGGTCTGTCAAAGATTTAGCAAGTCATGTACTAGGCGCAGAATCCTAGACAACAACAATACAATAAAAAAAATGTAGATGTTTCCTAATGCGGGTGTAGTTAGCCAGAGGTCATCTGAGGCAGCAGGTGGAAGAGTCGATATCCGGACTGGGAAAGGGGGGGGGGGGGGGGGAGGCTGAGGGAACGGGTGGAAAGGATAATGTTCGGATGGGGTGGGGAGGTGTGAGGGAACGGGTGGACGAGTCAATATCCGGAATAGGTGCCGCTGAGGCAACAGGTAGAAGGGACAATGTCCGGAGTGGAGGCTGCTGAGGGAACGGGTAGCAGGGACAATGTCCAGAGTGGAGGCTGCTGAGGGAACGGGTAGAAGGGACAATGTCCAGAGTGGAGGCTGCTGAGGGAACGGGTAGAAGGGACAATGTCCAGAGTGGAGGCTGCTGAGGGAACGGGTAGAAGGGACAATGTCCAGAGTGGAGGCTGCTGAAGGAACGGGTGGAAGGGATTTTGTCCGGAGTTTGGGGGGGGGGGGCGCTTGATGGGGGAACTGGTGGAAGAGACAAATCCGGAGTGGGGGCGGCTGACGAAACGGGTGAAAGGGACAATGTCCAGAGTGGGGGCTTCAGTAAGATAAGGAGGGTGGGGGGGGGGGGAGTGTACCAGACGAGGGCTTCTGTTGAAACCAATAATAAGGCTTTGGTGAAAAAGGGGTGCAGGGGTATATGGATAGCTGCATCTATTTAAAAAAAAATATATTTAAGTGTAACAATCCGTTTAAAAGATGACACCCCTTTTTTCCTCCCCCCCCCCCTTTCCCCCCACCCAGTCTTAAAGTTTGCACATTGTTGGAAAAATCGTCTTATACACTGAAAAATACGGTCTTTACTAAGCACATCGTGGTATACAATATTATTAGTAGAAGAAACACTTACCGTCTTGATAACTTTTGCGGCCTCCATTCCCAAAATGCAGACAGTTCTGCCGGTTTGAGTACTTCGTTTTTATTTGCTGGACGCTTGCGATACCATTTGTTGTATTTCCGACGCTTGTAATCTGCAGACAAGGTGTGAACACAACGACAAATAGATATATATTTTGTACGATATGTTCGAAAGGTACACATAATATCTACTGGTTCGAAGAATGGTAAATGTTGAATTAGGAATCGGATTCTCCAGTAAACGCCCAGTCCCCATCTTCAGCAGCAAACGAAGAGTTACAATTCCGATGGTACCAGTAACTGTCTGAGTGTACATCTACCTCGCTTTTCCATTTGTTCGAAGAAAAACTATACATCTACTATCTGGTGAATTGGATAGTGAACTATACTCCTATATATATACTGTTGTGAATTGTATTTTATCAATAATTTCTTTATGCAGTGTATATATGCGAAACAAACAAACGCAATCTCGTCTCACTTATTTATTTAATTTATTTTTTTATCGTTAGTGTCGAACTACTTTTACTTGGCACTAAGTGGCAGGACAAGATCACAATTACTGAGGTACTGAAAGGGCAGGTATTACAACAGTCTTCCCAATGCTCAGTCTACGAAGGCTCAGGTGGCTGGGTCACACCTGGAGAGTGGAAGATGGCAGAGTCCCTAAGGAAATCCTCTATGGTGAACTGAAAATGGGCAGAAGATGTCGAGGCGGACCACTATTACTATATAAAGATGTGTGCAAGCGGGACATTAATGATATAGGTACTGAGGTGGACTCTTGGAAACAAAATACCATGGACGGTGTTGTCTGCGGGGGGAGACATATCAGGTAGCGAATGAGACGATGAAAGAAATGATTGCAGAAAGGATGAGAGCTGAGAGTCTGAGAAGAAACAGACTAAACACAAATGTTGACAGCAACGTTCCTGAAATCATATGCTATAATTGTGGAAGACCTTTCTTTACGCGGGCGGGTCTTGCTAGTTACACTTGCCATCGCCATGGACTGTGAATCCCACATCTCCTTTTAACGCAATATACCACCATCGTCTGGAAAGACGGAAAGGTGCCAATCAATCAATCAAAAGCTACTTTTTTAAAACTGTAGATATTGGGCGAATAGTTACTTTTAACATGCAAATAGTATGTGTGTATTTTTTTTTTCAATCTTGTAAATTTTAAAGGTATTGTTGAGAACTTTTCGTACTTTTAATTCTGGTGACTTTTTCTTTTTTCAAGACAAACATAATCTGTGAAACGTAATTCAGCCTACTATCAAACCAGAGGCTACAGTAACCCCTTATGACAGATACGGACACATACATGCATTGTAAAAACAAGAATTTCTTAGGAAAAACAGTTGGAGAGTGAAGGGGGTGGGGGGTTGGGCCCTTTTTATAAACTATCTTTAGGGGACCTCAAGGGACTAAGCTATGTTTAACTGCTATGTATGTATATACGAGGGAAAGTCAAAAACTATCTACCCTGTTGACATAAATCTTCTTAAAATGTCAACACGAACTTCTGCCATTTAAAGAGTCTGATATGTTTATGATTTTTTTTTCCAATAGTGTGCTGTTCCACAATAAAAATGTGGACAATGTACCGACTGCTGACTCTGGGAATATTACGTGGTAAGGTTCTAATCTTTTTTCACGGTGTGAATTTGGCGCGCGCGCGCTTGTGTCTGTGTGTGTTTAAATACACTTGCACATGTTAGGAATCTCTCTGAAATATCTCAACACACCACTCACCCTGAACTCCACAGTATCTAGTTTCTTCAAGCTTCAGAGAGGATCTGCTGTAGACTATATGCGGATGACCTTCCACCCCGACCAGGTTGGTGTGGTTCCACAGGGGCTCCACGAAGTAGTCGTCTGTGTCCGTCGAGAAGACGCCGTGCTGTGGACAGCAATTGCTAGCAGTGTATTGTAAGACACATGCATGGCTGTTGGACATGGATGAGATATGTTAGAGATGCAGAGAAAGGAGAAGGGAGTGGGGGAATAAGAATAGACAGTCACTATGAAGAACTAAGTTAGATTGTAGGCGCAGTACAGGTACACGATTTCATGCAACATCAGGAAATCAAATGGTTCAGTCATCTGGTCAGAATGGAGCAAAATCATCCAGCAACTAGAGTCTACTACGTGAGAACGGCAGTCTACAAGGTATCTAGGCCTAGAGAGTGGAGGGAGCAGAGGCAATACAGAAATCTACTATGACATTAACACAAGCAACGCAACTAACAAAGGACAAAACGAACTGTATCTAACACCTTTCTGCAATGCTTTACAGCTTAAGCAGACAGACACAAGAAGAAAATGAGATTCGAATAAAACGGTTTGCGATGTATTTAAACAACAGTCTGACACTGATGTAGAGGAGGTTAGACAAAGGATGGGGGCAGGAGGAGAGACCGAAAAAAAAGAGGTAGAAGTAGTATTAGACTGTTACCCCACCAGGACATCACACAAGCGATAAACACCCGATGACGCAAAGTGCCAACATGTGGATGAGGATCACCCGTGGAGAAGTCCCGGAATCAGCGTTTAGCCACTAGACCATATTTATATTCGGGTTTTATTGCGGGACCTGGGGCTTCAAAATAAAGAAAATTGCATCTCACAAGGAGATGACTGGATGTACTAACAAACAAAAAACAAAAAAAAAAAAAAGAGGAAGGAAGAAGAAAAGGGTGTTGGAATTTCAACAATTATATTTCTGCGCTCACTTTTGAAAGCTCTTCTTATACAAGGTTAAACAATTAGTAAACGAGACTAATTCCATAAAAGTTAAAATAATCAACAGTTGAAGATATAACCTGTATCTGATTCAAAGTAAACCCCTTGTGCATTGATACAGCAGTAGTACGAACTAACAAACATTGGAACGACCTCTGTAGTTCTTCTGTTGTTATGACCCTTAAAGTCGATGTTACGGCCAGTTGGATGTCATCAGTAACGTTAACGAAGCGCCTTTTTAATTGAAACTTTAATGGTGGAAATAGAAAATAATCACAGGGAGACAAGTATGGGAAATTGGGTGGAAGGCTGAGAAGAAACACTTTTTTTTTGGGGTGGGGGGGGGGGCGCCAAAATTCTTGTTTTGATGATTTCTCTTGGGTACTCAACCCGCTGATGTTTTTGGTCACCAGACAACTAATGTGGTGCAAACCGGCAAGCAAATTTTGGGGGCGCCAAAATCTTGCATTAAAATGTTAGGAATGGTCTCTCTATTACCACCAGATTCACCTGCCATCATCCTCACAGTGAAACAATGATCTTTTTTGTATGCGTTCTCTAAATTTTGAAATGAGTTCACCGTTACGAATATATATTTTAAGTCCAAGTCTAGGTGCATTATTAATCATTTCCACACCACTTTTGACTCCTGAATACTTACCACCTGAAAATGTGTGCTCGAGATAAACAATTATCCCCATAAACTTGTTGCATTAATTCAATTGTTTCAGTCGTGCTTTTTCTGAGTTTTAAAAAGAATTTAATGTTAGCTTTTTGCTCCTCGATGATTTCGTAACAATGCACCTCTGACTGGGTCAACAAAATGACGGCTTGTTTGTTGGCTGTTTATCGAGCGGCGATGAAAAGTTGCCAGATCATAGATGAATGTTGGCTCTTTGCTTCATATATGACCTTTTTGTCTTGGCCATAATAAAATCAGTCTCGTCACTTAATTGTCGGGCCTTGTAGATACTTTCGAAAATTTTTTCTTTGCACATCTTCGAAAAAGCTTCAATTGTTTTGCCCTTTCAGATGCCGATTCTCGAATACATTTCGAAAGTTTGTTTGAATATTCTATTTTTTCTTTTTTTTTTTTTGTCATTGGATGCTCTTTATTGTTTAAGTTTCTGGTGAAGTATAGTTGGCAGTTGAATTCAGAAAAAAAGAAAACACGTTGATGGACACGCTTGGTTGCGTGTATTAGAATAAAACTATGTACACATACTGCAATATTTACTTTAAAAAAAAAATCCTGTGCCACCAGTGACATCATTTGCTTTCTACTTGACCCATTCATGATATTAATTTTAACTGGACAGGACCGCAGATAACACTAGCCTGGCTTGGCCCGCACGAGTGACCCAATTATAATTTCTTCGGAGGTTCAGCGGGGTATTTGGATTTTGTCCTGTTAATCTACGGTCTAGATTGAGATTTTGTACTGTCAGGGTGTCGGCCATTTAAGTACCCGTCCTGATAGAAAGGATGGGGATGGTGGGGGTGGTGCTTGAGGAGGACGGGGGACGCACGCTTCTATACAGTTCTGAAGGCCCTTCTCTTTACACTTTTGTGTGCATTTTCTAGGCGATTTGATTTGATTCAACAACTTTCACCACAGCAATCGGGGCATTCCCATAAGTGCTCCGTCGCCATCTTCAGCAGCCAACGCAGAGTTCCAATACCAGTGGTGCTAGTAGGAGTCAGATTATATGCCCGTGTTGCCTTTCCTCTTAGCGTCGAGTAACGGCGAATGATTACATATTTAACATTCCTCTTCTGTGCGATCGTTTTCGTATGCTCGGATTATAACTTGTGTTGCCTCCATAAACTGGCACGTCAGCAGCAAGTCTCTTAAGAGTTCCCCAAAGCCTTTCTGGATACCTCTTTCCTCTAGCCATGTGTTTTCTCGCAGGTTTTAGTGCATTCGAAAGTCGCAGTTAACTTCCTTCGGGATCTACACACCTGGGTACGCAGGAGTACCAAGTAATAAAAGAGCTGACCAGCTGGCAAGTAAGGCATCAGTTAAAGGTAAAACGTAAAGTTGGGAGATGTGAACCAGCGTCATTGCACACGGTTATAAACCATAAGTGCTCTGCCACCAATACGGACAGCTGATAAAAATTGTCCGCCTGTGTCGCAATTCGCATGTAACTCTGTAGCTACAGCGACGTTCCTCCATTTACCCAAGAGTATCACTCTGGTACCCATTTCCTAGAGGCTGGGTGAACCCCGGGAGCCGCCCGGTTTCGAACACCGACAGTGGGCTGCAGCGAGTCGCAGCTGAATTGGAAAGCGAGCTTCTTATCGACTGTGCTAACGCGGCTAACACAACTGCATAACCGAGGATTTAAGCTTGGTGAAGCACGTCTGTATTGTCTTCCAGGTAAAAACAGGAGATACTATAACCAACTTCTCGAGGGAACAATCAGTAAAGGTACCTTGGAGTGGCTGCTGCATCGCAGAACTGAGCACGCATGGATATGCTCACTGTGCAAAGACGTCGACTGTAATAACTTAACAGACCCACTGCCTGCCCAAAAATTATATCCTAGGAGTCGACTAACTGAGGGCATCCCTCGAAGTCCAATTCATCTTACTTGAGGCGCAAGGAACCAAAAGTCTGCATAGGAATAAGCCAGATAAATAAAGCGTATGTGAACACAGAACTCCGCTTCTGGGAAAAGACTAACAACCAGGGTCGACTCTCTCGACGAACAACCAGAACTTTCCACCGGAGTTTACAGCCGGTGAACGCCAAGAAGAAGACGAACATCCGGTAAATTCCTAAGTAAAATATTAGGTGAAATAACGATGACCGAGTCTCTAGAGATGTGGATATACAGATGAACAAGTCGTATTTCATGGAACTACAAACAGTAAATAATGATGACCGAATCTCTAGAGATGTGGATACACAGATGAATAAGTCGTATTTCATGGAACTACAAACAGTCAAATAATGATGACCGAGTCTCTAGAGATATGGCTACACAGATGAATAAGTCGTATTTTACGGAACTACAGTCAAATAATGATGACCAAGTCTCTAGAGATGTGAATACACTGATAAATAAGTCGTATTTCATGAAAACGAAAACAGTTAAATAGGGTGGTTCTTTATAAACTGAGAGTTAATGAAGAGTTGCTGAAAAAAATGACAAAGTGAAATATTTCGATCACATTAGGAGACATAAAAAGGTCCCTTTTCCACGTATGTAGGCGTATTGGGAAGATAGGGTCAGACCTATACTTTTATAGACAAATCGGCACTTGGGTGATGTGGTCAGCACAACGCCGGCCGCCTCTACTTCCCAGGACTGCACCTGGTACCCAATCAAGGCTGGGAGTCAAGGTCATTTTTGAAAAAAAAAAAAAAACACAGCTTCGCCAGGACGCGAACCGACGACCTTCTGATCCACAGGCGGGCGTCTAACCGCTAACGCCACGGCGACTCTCCAATAATAGACATTACACTTTAAAATACCATGATGGAAAGAAAAGTTACAGGCAAACGAAAAAATGGCAGGCAGGGATACAAGTGGAAGGATAACATCAGAAGATAGGCGAATAGCTGTGTGAAAGTATGTACATCCAGGACGAAAGACAGAGCCTGGATCATGGATTATGACTTACTCATGTAAAGTGTACCATATTTCATCATCATCATCAGTTCTCGTTATGCCTAGTGGCAAATTAGGCTTTATAGAGGACTTTCCATGCTTTCCTGTCCTGTGCAATCTTCAGTGCAGTTTTCCATGTCAAAGATGCCGCACTCAGGTCACTTTCCATCGTTCGTCTCCATGTTGTTTTTGGGCGCCCCTGTTTTCTCTTTCCCTCTGGTGTCCATGTGAGAGCTGTTTTGGCAGGTATATCAGGATTCATTCTCATAGCGTGGCCAAGCCATTTCCATCTTCTCTTGGTTATAATACTGTCTAAAGTTTCTTGGTTCGTGACTTCTGGCCAGAAAATTTTGATAATTCTACCATATTTTACCCATTAGAAACCCACTATACCTTCCGACATATAAGGGCTACTTCTTTGCGCGCAAACATGACATCTGCGCTTCCGTGACAGAAGTGGTCGCAAGTATGCGAATGAAAAAATACCGTAGCATTTCAAATGACTTTAGGATGTGAAAGTGCTCCAAGCCATTCATAT